GCTAATTGAAGTATACAATATCTCCTTTTTGTTAGAACTGTATGGAATAGTATCTTGGATAAAAAAATGTGTGTATGACAATGTTAGAATGCAACAAATGAAGAATAATTAATGTTTATTGTGAAAATATTTTTGATTCAAATTTCAATTACATTTTACCATTGGTATACAGTGCCCGTTTTTCCGTATTTTCATATTTGTAATTATGGTATTTACCATGTTTTTATTTATTTTTGTTTAAAAAACGCACAATCTTTAACTATGTAAACATTTTACTTTTTTAAATCATTTGTTAGTTAAAAATTATTAATTTTTATGATATAAATGAGGTGTTAACAAATAGAAAATTATTTCATTCCTATTACTATTTTTTTTTGCTTAATTTTTCATTATTATACCAGAGTTATCATCTAAATGCTTGTGTTGTCTAATATATTACATTCAATGCTTAAAGTAAGGAATAAACTCAATAACCCCCATAAGAACAACTTCGAAGAGGTCGATTTTGTTAGTAAAATGCTTTTGAAAGTGACCGAGTCCAACAAACCGAAATAAATCCATTAATTCCCCTCAAACAGTACAAAGTATTTTAATTTTTTATACATTATATACAAAACGCAGTAAATCCCATAATAAATCATAATGCATTTATTTCATAACTATGAAGTGAATAAAAAATTGATTTTTCTTGATGATTGTTATTGAATTTATTCCACACTTTAAGTACTGTATATATAAATATACGATTTTAGCGTTATCAATTGACATTTTTTTATTTAAAATATTTCACAGAATTGTTTTAACTTCAATTTAAAATGCCATGGTAGAGGTGCCTTCAGTTCAGTTGTAAAATCCTATGGCGAATTTTCATTTTGTAAAATAATTGTATTTTTATGTAGTTTGTATTAAACTTTGCGAGTTTTTTTAAGTTGGATTTAGTTTTATTTAACCCTAACTGATTTTTTGAACCCTCTTGCTCAGTATGCTTATAAATCAAAGTCTGAAGGGCCTAATGTAACAATTAGTTAGTCTACAGAATGATGTCTTTAGCTACTGTTGTCAATATACTATTAAGGGATTAATGGCAACATAGTCACCAGCCAAAGCGTCCTGGGGTCCCGAAGGAACATTCATTCACCAGTCGCAAAAAAATAAAATCTCTTAATATCATATCGAGCGACTTTGGAAACTAGTTCTTAGGGGTAGAAACGCCGAGGCTTCACAAATGCTCGGAATATTTTAAAACTGGTTTTGAGAAGGGGAGGAGTGAATAATAATGAATTTATTTACACCAATTTACAAAATATAATAAAATCTTGAGATAGGTATAAATAAATGAAAAGAAATCGATAAGTGAATTTTTCACTTGTTTTGATACAATTAATTACAATCAAAAACAATAAAATAGAAAAACAATAAATGAACATAAATACAAACAAAAAAATATAGATAATAAAATTACAAAGATCAGAAAGTGTTAGTATAGCTTAATATGAATTTACAAATATAGTGATATGATATTTTAATTCAAAATTAGAAGTATTACATGTTTGTGGTTTTCAAATTTATAATTTCAACGAGGTAAAAAAACTACAATAGGTAAGGCCAAATATTCATAATTTTACTTTCCCGCACTAGTGCGGGAAAGTGATTTTTTCCCGCACTAGTGCGGGAAAGTGACTTTCAAAACTAAAATGCGTGCGGGAAAGTGGGTAAAAATACACGGTCGTAGAAAATATATTTTTAATTCTAAAATTTTAAGTTTAGACAATATTGAATCAGAGCAGATCTGGATTTCGTTTAACCATAAGAAACGCCGCTGGGGGGGTAGCTATCATTATTAAAAAAGATTTACAATACAAAGAAATCCCTAAGGCAAATATAAATGAAAGATTTGAAAATATCATTGTAGAGGTAAATAACTTAACAATCATAGGTGTATACAACCCTCCCAACATCACAATTTCAGGTAGAGATCTGCACAGGTTAATGTCTAAAGGAAACAGAGTTTTTTTGGCAGGGGATCTTAATGCCAAACATCAGGAATGGGACTCTCATTGTGCGTACTACAACGCTAGCGGTAGAGTCTTGAGAGACTTCGCCGAGGAAAATGACCTTATTATCCACTACACAGAAGAACCTACATACTTTCTGACAAACCCCACTTTCAGCCCCAGTACACTGGATATAGCCCTTGTGAAAAATATCCCCGACATCAGAAATATGCGAACAATAACCACTCTAAACTCAGATCACGATCCAGTGTACTTGGAGATTTGGACTACAAACAAAATACAAAGACAAATCACAAAATACTATGATTACAAATCGACAAACTGGACACAGTATAGAGACAAACTAGACACATACATAACGATAAATAACAACATCAACACAGTAGAAAAACTAGAAAAAGAAACAAAACTATTAATACAAATAATACAAAAAGCTAGAAACGAGACAACTACGCTTAAAACACTGACAGCACATTATGACAATCTGCCACCCGAAATCACTGAATTAATTAGTAACAAAAACAGACTAAGAAAAAGGTGGCAGACGCACAGGTTAAACGATGATAGGGTTATGATGCAAAATCTCGCTAACAACATAAACGAAATGATTAGAAATCATAGAAATAAAAAATGGCAAACAACCCTATCAGAGTTGAAACCACAAGACAACTCATTGTGGAGAGTAGTGAAGAGGTATAAAAAACCCTACTCACTGCTCCCCACTCTGAGACGAGGACAAGAAACATTTATGACAGACGAAGACAAAGGTCAAGCCCTAGGTGAATTCTTTCAAGCTCAATTTGTCAACAATCAGCCTAACAACCCTCAACAACAGCGAGTTGAAAACATCATTACCGCTCTCGGTCAAATAGAACCACTCACAGTGCCCCATTCGTGCCTTACCACTCCTAGAGAGGTATGTGAGGTAATTAGGTATCTCAAAAACAGAAGAGCTCCGGGACCGGACGACATTAACAATATACTGCTAAAAAACCTCAGCAGGAAAGGTATCGTGCAGATCTACCACATAGTAAATGCCATTTTCAGACTACAACACTACCCTAGTAGTCTGAAGATGGCAAATATTATACCAATTCTAAAACCGGGAAAACCAAAGAATAATATTGATAGCTACCGCCCCATATCACTACTTAACACACTCGCCAAAATAACGGACACTATAATATTACGACGATTAAAAACAATTGAACAACACATACAGATTATCCCGAAGGAACAATACGGTTTCAGAGAGGGGCACAGCACCGTGGCCCAGGTCTTGAGAATTGCACATCATGCCAAAGAGGCATTTAATCGGGACCTGCAAACGGTGCTGGTGGCGCTTGATTCAGAAAAAGCCTTTGACACCGTATGGACCCAAGGGCTAATATACAAAATGCTTATGAATGACTTTCCTGAGCACATTATCAAAACAATTTTGTCATATCTTACGGACAGAAAATTCAACATCAAAATAAATTCTACAATAACAGGACCTTTCCTAGCAATGGCGGGAGTACCACAGGGCTCTGTACTATCGCCGCATTTGTACACCATCATGACCCATGATTTACCAATGGGACATAATGGGGTGCAAACGGCGCAGTACGCCGATGACATCTGTATATACACCAGTCATAAATCAGCACAAACAGCGAGCAGCAGGCTGGATAACCATATTAATGGAACATTAGTGAATTATTTAGCAGAAAACAAGATGAAAATCAACACAACTAAAACCGAGTCGCTATTGCTCTCAAAAAGGCGTGCCCAAGGTATAACCACGCCCCTTCAGGTGCAAAACCAACCAATCGTTGTCAAGTCAGAGATGAAATATCTTGGTTTTCTGTTGGACAAAACACTATTGTTTAAGGCCCACATTAAAGACAGGGTAGGTAAAAACTCCGGTATTCTGAGGTCGTTGTACCCCTTAATGAATAGACGGAGCCGAACAAGCTACTACTATATAAAACCATATTTAGGCCGATACTGACATATGGTTGTCCAGTATACTGCTCAATGTCTAACTCTTCATTTGCACCACTTCAAAGGGCTCAAAACAGATGTCTGAGGCTAGCACTTGGCTACGATCGCTATTCTAGAATACGAGACATACACGGGACGACAAATATGCCTATGATCAAAGATTTTATCATTGAAACCTCTGAAAACTTCTTCGCGCGATGCCTCCCTGTGGAACTAAGGGAAAGCATCACCCAAATTCACCAGGGAGACGGCGTGCGACGGAAGCACGGCTGCATTCATAGCAATCTAGGCATATATAGACGACAATAACAGGACTCCTGACAAATTCAAACTATACTAAACAATAATTCACACGGACTGGATATTTACGAAATCCAGTCCGACGGAGGACTGAACGATAAATTGACCGGCGGAGTCGTGGCCGATAGCAGTACGCTTTGGACTTTGCCAAAGTACTGTTGCCTGCGATAACCACGCCGGTTTTTTGATCTTATCAGTTGTAATCTACGTAGCAAACATACACCCACATTTTTCATTTAAACAAGCCAGAAAAAATACACCACAGTATCAGTAGAGGTACTGCGGATGCAAAAGCCCGAAAGGGCAGCAACCACAACTCCAAAAGCATTCCAGACCCTATATTCCAAGCGATTGAAGAACAGATGTCGTCCTGACCTGCCAGAAATTTTAAAAATCTCCAATCTGAACTCCCCCAAACTTTTTAAGGCCAAAATTAAAATAAACCCACCAAAAAACGTGAGTACAGATCACTTACCACTAACTTTAACTAACCCGGGGGAAATCTGCCCAAATAAGGGGGACTCCCTGGCCAAAATTTCCAAAGAACAACCTTCAAATGACCCCCAAACAGTTCAGAAAGAGAAAATTAACATCCTTCACAATCAGACAGTTAAAGAAGGAATTGGTGAACGAAAAAGGAAGAAATCTAAATTAGACAGCCCAGAAAACCTAGTAATTGATACTGATACAGAATCAGACATGGACGAACTATTCCATGACTCACAGGATAGTCAGGAAAACCTATCCTCACAAACAGTAAGGGAAAATTCTGACAATAATATGGACACAAACGACTCCATAAACTCCCAGGAGAAAGAAGAAAATGACCGTACAGTAAAGGACCTATATGGGGATCTAGAACCACCCCCTGAAAATAAAGACTCATTTAAACATGCCAAAAGTATGGAAAACATACAAAACACAAGCTCTGACCCAAATCTCAGACAATACAGATCCGAATATGCCACAGATGTTGAAAAACCACTAAAATTAAAAATAAAACGGGTTGAAATGCCAGCAAACGTGGTAAAGAGATTACTAAACTTTCAAACCTCGGAAAATACATCTGAAGAAGAACGAGGAGCCCAATCCCTCCTACTACAACAATCCCTTAAAGCAGCTGCAGAGGCTAATAATACACTTCCAACCCCTCCACCAGCTTCCCACCCTTCACAACCAAGCAACACATCAATATCTCAATCCTTTTTCTTTCTCCCTCCACCACTCAGCACACAACAATCCACTCAAAACAGCTCCCCATCAACATCCCAAATACAACTACCCCCAGCCAGCCATCTTACCCCCAACAGTAGAGGCTTGCAGAGGTGGTCCAGTCAGAAAGACTCAGCTATTAGGCAGGAAATATTAGGAATAGTAAATAAAGACAACGAAAACTTTGAAGCCCCAAAAAAGACCACAAAATTGAAGCACCTAATACTCCAAAAAACAAAGGCCACACTAAAAACCAATAATAAATACTTACCCCTATCAGATGACTCAGACAGAGAGGATGAAAGTGAAGAAGAAGACACACAGAGGCCTAGAATTAAACGAAACAAACCAAATACACCTCAAAAGGACAAAAATAACACACAAGCACCCACCAAAACAAAAAAACCACAAATGCCGCCAATTGTAATAGACGGAGTAACCCGTAATCATAAGCAGATGGTAGCCAATATCAAAGAGACTATAAATGGACAATTCACAGTCAAACATACAAATCAGTCCACAATACTATTTGTAGAAGATGAACCAGACTACACAAGAGTGCTCACTAATATAAGAACCGAGAAGATACCCCATCACACATATACTCAGAAGCAAGACAAATCGCATGCTTTTGTCTTAAGAGGCATGACGACAGGCACGGAAATAGAAGACATAAAAGAGGATCTCCAAGAGAGCTACGACATAAAAGCCAGAGAGATTTTCTTAATGACCACTAAAAACAGGCCACTCTACTTAGTTATTACAGATCCGGCCATTACGTTGGAATATCTCAATAAAAACGTAAGAATAATAGAAAATACCCGGATCATATGGGAACTTAGAAGATCGGTCAAGCTTCTAATTCAATGTCACAATTGCCAGTTATGGGGACATGCTACTAGCAATTGTGGCAGACCCTCAAAATGCCTCAAATGCGCGGGGGAACATCATACCAGAACGTGCCTGAAAAGCAGAGATACGCCTGCAAAATGCGCAAACTGCGGCGGGGATCACCCCGCCAATTACACAAAGTGCAGTCATTATATTGAAAGGGTCGAACGGCTAGAGGACAGAAAAGTAAAAGTGCAACCCAAAAAATACACACAGGCTCCACTACCTAAAGTGAACGCATGGGAAAATAAAAATCACAGACAAAACCGAGAAGAATTTCCGGAGCTGCCAAGCAGAGGCCAAAATAACAGAAATGAACAAGCAAGATCAAACATCCCAACAACACAGCAATCAGCACCTAGGCCTCAGGCCCCTAGGTCCGCTGCCATGAGACCACCTGGAAAAATGGAGGAATTCCAGGCGTTGAATACAGAGTTAGACGATCTGAACAGGTTGGTAAATCTTTCCGAACTAGCTAGAGCGGTCAGAGACCTTAATAACGAATTACGTACATGTCTCACCAACTTAGACATATTCAATACATATCAATCATTCTACGAAAATATCAACTCCTACAATTTCAGAAACTGAACTTGGTGAGTCATGTATAGACAAATTCAAAATATGTTTTTATAATGCGAATGGGCTGCACAACAAGATTCATCTTGTACGCAATTTCATACACAATCATAATTTCGACATAATCTTTATATCAGAAACAAGATTTAGGGAAAACGAGACGATTAAAATACGAGACCATACAGTAATACAACAACACAGACAAGATGACGGTGGCCACGGTGGGGTAGCTTTTATTATCAGGCGCAATATAAAATTTCAAAGATTAAAAAACATTAACACCAACATAGAAAACTTAGTCATCAAAGTAGGAAATTTTACGTTAGTAGGAGCTTACAATAGACCCCATAATAAAATCACAAACCTGGATTTATTTAGGTTGACTTCGATAGGCCAGAAGGTTCTCCTGTTTGGTGATCTAAACAGTAAGCATCAGGAATGGGATGCAAATTGCGTCACTCACAACAAAAACGGAAAAACCCTGAGGGATTTCGCCGAATTAAACGATCTTAATATACATTACACAGAAACCCCTACCTACTTCCCTTTTAATAACCTTTTTAATCCCAGTACCTTGGACATAGCTGTATCTAAAAACATTACAGAAATAAATAACATCAGAACCATCCCTTCCTTGAACTCGGACCACGATCCAGTTGTCTTGGAAATTCCTACAAATAACAAGCCTCTAAATAACCCAAGCAAATACTTTGATTACTCCAAGACAAACTGGAAAGTGTACCGACAAATACTTGACGAAAACATACAAATTCGAGTCATAAGTAGCACACAAGAAATAGATATAGAAATAAATAAAATCATAGAGGCCATCAAGACGGCCAGAAATCGATCCACAGCACTTATGACTCGAAAACATCACAAAGAAACAATAACTGACGAAATACAGGACCTGATACACACAAAAAACAGAATAAGGAAGAGATGGCAGACACATCGACAAACCGATGACAGGGATAGGCTACACGACATAGCACATCACATTAATTTCCTCATGCAAGAAGTCAGAAACAAAAAATGGCAAGAAACCCTGGAATCGGTCAACCCAAAGGACAACTCAGTGTGGAGAATTGCTAAACACCTTACAAAAAAGAGTTCGCAAATCCCCACACTGATTAACAGACAAAATACATACGAAACAAACGAACAGAAAGGTCGTTTATTCGGTGAATTCTTCCAGGAAATATTCACGAATAACATTCCAAATAATGAAAACCAAAATAGAATTCAAGACACAGTAAATAATTATATTGAAAACGCACCTGCAAACGTAAATCAGGGAGATTTAACCACCCTTAAAGAAATTCACTCTATACTGTGTAGCTTAAAAAACAGGAAGGCCCCTGGCCCGGATGAAGTACCTAATATCCTGCTTAAAAACTTCTCTAAAAAAGCCATAGTGCAAATGCACTACATAGTAAATGCTATTTTAAAGACAAATCACTATCCCCAATCACTAAAAACTGCGAATGTAATTCCCATCAGGAAAAACAATAAAAACCCCAAACTAGTAGATAGCTACAGGCCAATCTCCTTACTCTCAGGTCTAGCCAAAATCGTGGACAAAGTCATTCTTACAAGACTACGAAACTTTGACAATGACAACCATATTATCCCCCCGGAACAGTTCGGTTTTAGAGAGGGTCACAGCACTATAGCACAGATAATAAATATAACTCATCAGGCAAAAAAAGCCTTTAATTCCAAAAACCAAACCGTGCTTGTGGCCCTTGACACCGAAAAGGCCTTTGATACAGTCTGGACCGGAGGGCTAATCCACAAAATGATTGTGAATGACTATCCTGGTCACATTATAAAAACAATTTATTCTTATCTTAAAGACAGAAAATTCAACATAAAAATACACAAAACCATAACAGGACCATACAATGCTGTTGCTGGAGTACCCCAAGGATCGGTACTGTCGCCGCATTTGTACACCATTATGACTCATGACATGCCTATGGGTCTTAATGGGGTGCAAACGGCGCTGTACGCCGACGATACCTGCATTTTTAAGTCTTCTAAATCAGCCGAAATCGCCACAAGGAGACTGGACATTCATATAAACAGAACGTTGATCCCCTATCTTGATGGAAATAAAATGAAAATTAATCCCGCAAAAACCGAATGCGCCCTCTTATCGCAAAGGAAATCTGAAGGCATCAGGGGAAACCTTAAAATACAAAATGTAACAATATTACCGAAACCCGCAATTAAATATCTCGGTTTCCATCTCGATAGGAGATTAACGTTCAAAAATCACATCAAAGATCGAATTGCCAAAGCATCGGGAATGATCAAACTCCTATACCCCATGTTGGCCCGAAACAGCAAAGTTTCAAGGTCAAACAAACAATTAATATACAAACAAGTAATTAGGCCTATTTTATTATATGGATGTCCAGTCTACTGCTCCATGGCAGAAACACATTATAAAAAGCTCCAAATATCTCAAAACAGGTGTCTTCGGCTAATCCTTGGGTGTGCGAGAGACACCAGAATCGATGAACTCCACGAAAGGACAAACATACTTCCTATAAGACAGTACATACTCAACACAGCTGAGAAATTTTATAAAAATTGTCTACCTCGACAGGTTAAGGAAGACATAAACCAATATACTGCTCAAAACAGTCACAATAGGAAGCATGTTTGGATCCATGAAAACCTGACAATTTACAGACGATGAACAGAGACAAAAATAAAGCACAATAACATAGACAATCATTGCATGTACTGATTACTTGCGATGCCCAAAGCCGACTGAATCCTCAATTCAGAAGGTGAGTGACTATATCTGGAGGTGGGAGGAGCTTAGGCCCGGAGCGCTCTGTCATTGGCTGGAGCTTCGGACCTATGAATGTCCGGCTTTGAGATGGGTAACTTTGGGTATCGTACACAAAACCAAAAACTATAACGTACAAACACACTCCACGCTTCTAAACCCTGTTTTTTCCATAGCTTTTTCAGGGAAATTGACTAAAATTAAATTCAGACATATCTTTATTAAGGTCACTTACTGCTCAATAGCTTATTAAATCAAAACAGTTGAATAATACCGTTGTGGTAAGGAGTCAACTCTGTATCCAACAAAAGGACAAACGTCTACAGGTTGTGAAGGCAGAAGACCAGCCAAGAATCGACAAGATTCGACGAAGAATGATGCATTTTTCGTACTTTTCTGAATTTGTAGATGTACAATGTATATATTTATGTAAATAAAGAATTTTAAAAGTAAGTAAAAGTGGCCGATAGCGATTTTTCGCACTCGACCTTCAGGTGACCGCCAAGGTGTTAGCGAGGCGGTAAACGTTGAATGTCCTACACCTGACCGCCAAAGGGTTGCTGAGGCGGCCAACATAATAACAAACCCGACAGAGGGGGAAATCCAGAGAAAGGCATCAGTGGCTGACTCAGAGGAATCTCTTGAGTACCTTGACAGCCAAGACGATAGCGCAATAAGCAACCACGAATCCGAATATGATGCTACTGTTAAAAAGCTAATAGCAGAGCTTGAAAATTCCAGAGATTCGGGTGAATCAAGTATTAGCGACAAAATGGACACTACCGTTGTAGATGTGGATGAAAATAAGAGAGAGCCAGGAGAAAAAACCCCTGATAATGTAAAATTTCAATCGGCATATATCACTGACAATGCAGGAAATCGGCACAGAACACTCAGCCTACCTGACAATGTCATATCAAACTTATTGGATTTCAATACTAACAATTATAGTAACAATCTACAAATTCAAACTGGTGGTGTGGCAGATGCTCAAATCGGGGGTGAACTGAGTAGCTTCCGCTTTGGGTATGCCCCCACACCTCCAAACAACATAGTTGGCACCATGGTTGACATGAGTACTATCTCACTCAAAAATACAAGCACCGGAGCAATCAGCAAAATAAATAATGCCGACCCCAGAGTTAGAAGAAGAGACTTACCAAAAAGTGTAGACTCCAACATTCTCGGATACACTTCCAGTCTGACATCAGATGATGACGTTAACAGACACAGAGACCCATATAGGCACCTTCCACACTCGCCAAACAGTCAGTTTAAATTAAGAAATCAAACAGACAGAGCCCAACACGATCAAGAAGTTCGTGACATAGAAGCGGCCAAAAAGAACAGTGAAGAACCCCCATTTGTAACCCCCAGGAGGTTCTCCTCGAACTTTGAAAAACTCATTAAGGAAAAATAAAAAAAAACGATGACTACTACTAATAACAAATTCGCGCCACTCACTGACGAGTCAGAGTCCGACAGTCAGGATGATGAGATTGGCAAAATCGTTAAAAAACGAAAGAAAGGCAAACATTTCAGACCACTGGACCTTAATGAAGTCACAGCACCTAAAACCCAACAAAAAACACAGGATGGACCATCTAAACAAAATAATAATGCTACAGGCTCCAAAACGAACAAAACAATAAAAAAATCTATGCCTCCAATAGTTATCGATGGAAAAACTAAAGACCAGAAAAACCTAATTACCGATTTAAAAGCATATGTCAAGGGTGACTTCAGCGTGAAGCACACTAACGCTAGTACAATAATATTTGTGGATGATAAAGATGACCACAGCAGGGTACTCAACAATATAAAGGCGGAGAAACTATCATACCATACATACACATCAAGTGACGACAAGTCCCACGCTTTCGTCCTGCGTGGCCTTGCAGAAGGTACGAAAATCGTTGACATTGAGGAAAACCTTGAAGATGATCACGATATTAAAGTTAGAAACGTGTATCAAATGAATACAAAAGAAAGACCCCTGTTCCTGGTAGTTTAGGACCCGGCTATTACCCTAGATTATTTAAATAAAAATACACGCAGAGTTCTACACACTAGGGTAGTATGGGAATTGCGAAAATCAACAAAAGCAATCATCCAATGCCATAACTGCCAGCAATGGGGGCATGCAACATCCAACTGCGGCAGGCCGTCAAAGTGTGTTAAATGTGCGGGTGATCACCACACCCGTACATGCGCTAAAACACGTGAAACACCAGCGATATGTGTAAATTGCGGGGGTGATCATCCCGCTAATTATTCTAAATGCCAAACATATCTAACAAAACTAGAAAGACTTGAAGAACGGCGGCCTAGGCCGCAGCAGAAATATGTCCCCGCCCCTGCTCCGAAAATAAACCAATGGGAGGCCAGGAAATCAGTGAGAAGTACTAATACCGAGTTCCCGGCCCTGCCCACCAGGCAAACAGAAGAAAACGAAGCAAAGAAGACCAATAGCGAACGACCTCTGCCACAGAATACCCAAATGGATGACTTCTCCGCACTCAATCACGAACTTAGTATTTTAAACAGGTTAGTCAATATTGGCGAGCTTACAAGGGCGATCAGAGCACTGAACGCCAAACTTAAAAATTGCACTTCGGGACAACAAATCATTGAAACTTATAACGCGTTCATGAGTAACGTAGACAACACATTCAATATTAGGAACTGAATTCAATTCAAGGGACAAACAAAAACTTAAAATTTGTTTCTACAATGCAAATGGGATGCGCAACAAAACAGCTCTTGTTCGCAGTTTCATTCATAAACATAATTTCGACATCGTACTTATTACCGAAACTCATTACAAACAATCATACAAAATTAAAATACACGGGTACGACATCATCAGACATGACAGACCGGATCAGTCATGGGGTGGTGTGGCTTTTTGTATTAAATCTGATATTACATACCCAGACAACACACCAAATCCCAGAGATATCCACAGAATATATTTTGTGGATATCCAATATATCCACAGGATATCAAAAATATTCCGTGGAACTAATATAGATATCCAAATGTCCGTCTATATCCAGAATATAGAAGATATCCTATGGATATTCAGCAAAATATCTAATGAGTATCTCCAGACAATACAAGAAATCCCAGATATATCCATAGAATATATTTTGTGGATATCTAACCAAATGTCCGTCTATATCCCAGGATATAGAAATTCAAATAAATATTTTATAATTATTTTTAGTAGAGGTTCATAATAAGTAACCAATGATTATTGAATAACGTCGAAAGAAAATAGAGGTAAAAAATATTTCCAACAATCTGCCTTTGATTTTGCCTACTAAGGAGAAAATCATCCTTATTAGGAATCTTCAGCAATAAATGGAACTTCTCGACTTCAGTCTCTAATGAAGTCTGTTTGTGAAACAATGTCGATCAAACTCAATTACGGCGGGTTAAGCATGAGTAGATACGAAAGTGGTATCGCCATCTATACTTAGGAAGCAAAATCAAAAATTACATCTAGTAGATATCCACGATGGTTTGCGTCCGCGCTTAGACTTTGATATATTTATATTTATAGTGGATGTCCATGGGATATTGAATACACCTTAAAAAAAATTAATTTTAAATATCTCAACGGTACTATTAGCCACAAAGGCGAGTACAATGGCGTAATTTTTTAATAATTTGCTATATAATTACAATTATTTATGGACATTTGCATGTCTATAAATTACATTTCATGGATATAAAATAGATATCCACCATGGACTGGACATTCAGTGGATATTGGGATGTTCAGTAGATATCCAAAGGATTTGGTGTGCTGTCTGGGTAGGTATGAACATCTGATAAATCTAAATTTAACCCAAGAACACTTGAGAATAAAAATAAATAATATTATCTTTGTTGGGATATACAACCCTCCTAATAATACATTTACAAAACAAGATATCAATAAAATTATGTCATCAGGGAATAGAGTCCTGTTACTGGGTGATTTAAACTGTAAGCACCCTCACTGGGATTCGAATTGTCGAATCCCAAATAAAAGCGGTAAAAACCTGGATGAATTTGCCGAATCCAATGACATCATTATACACTATCCTGAAGACCCCACCCACTTCCCCTCCGTTCCAGGACATTCCCCCTCCACAATTGACATTGCGGCTGCCAAAAATGTACCGAACGTGGAGAATACTAGGACTATCAAAACATTAACCTCTGATCACGATCCTGTATACTTGGAGATTGGGATAAAGCGCCTGATACCAAGGATACAGGGTCGTTATTATGACTACAAAACAACAGACTGGACAAAATACAGGAAATCACTAGACGAAAACATTGACATTAACAACATTACAGATAGGCAATCTCTTGAGGAAGAAATCATACATTTAACTGAGACTATAATAAATGCTAGAAACCAATCTACCAAACAAATCACACGTCAGCTACAAAAAGATGATCTTCCTCAAGAGATCCTTGACCTCATAACAAACAAAAACCGCATACGTAGACGTTGGCAGACGCATCGACAAGCCGCCGACAGGGTCATGTTCCAGGAATTGGGAAAAGCTATTAACATAGAAATAATTAATTTCAGAAACACAAAATGGCGCAGGACCCTGGAGGCGATTAACACTAAAGACAATTCAGTGTGGAAAATTGTGAAGCGGTTTAAAAAGCCGTTTTCGCAGCTTCCCACACTGAAACACAATAACAACTCCTACTCTACAGACGAACAAAAATGTACGGCATTCGGTGAATTCTTCCAGGAGAATTTTATCAATTCACAATTAAACAACCCTGAACAAGACGAGATCAAAAATCTTGTTAATGATATAAGGCAAATGCCAGTACAACATGTCCCACTCAATTTTCTCACAACACCCAAAGAAATAATTGAAATCATTAAAAAGTCACCCAGTAAAAGGGCTCCAGGACCTGATGAAATACATAACATATTAATTAAAAACTTTTCAAAGAAAGTATGTGTCCATGTGCATCACATACCCAGACAGCACACCAAATCCTTTGGATATCTACTGAACATCCCAATATCCACTGAATGTCCAGTCCATGGTGGATATCTATTTTATATCCATGAAATGTAATTTATAGACATGCAAATGTCCATAAATAATTGTAATTATATAGCAAATTATTAAAAAATTACGCCATTGTACTCGCCATTGTGGCTAATAGTACCGTTGAGATATTTAAAATTAATTTTTTTTAAGGTGTATTCAATATCCCATGGACATCCACTATAAATATAAATATATCAAAGTCTAAGCGCGGACGCAAACCATCGTGGATATCTACTAGATGTAATTTTTGATTTTGCTTCCTAAGTATAGATGGCGATACCACTTTCGTATCTACTCATGCTTAATCCGCCGTAATTGAGTTTGATCGACATTGTTTCACAAACAGACTTCATTAGAGACTGAAGTCGAGAAGTTCCATTTATTGCTGAAGATTCCTAATAAGGATGATTTTCTCCTTAGTAGGCAAAATCAAAGGCAGATTGTTGGGAATATTTTTTACCTCTATTTTCTTTCGACGTTATTCAATAACCATTGGTTACTTATGAACCTCTACTAAAAATAATTATAAAATATTTATCTGAATTTCTATATCCTGGGATATAGACGGACATTTGGTTGGATATCCACAAAATATATTCTATGGATATATCTGGGATTTCTTGTATTGTCTGGAGATACTCATTAGATATTTTGCTGAATATCCATAGGATATCTTCTATATTCTGGATATAGACGGACATTTGGATATCTATATTAGTTCCACGGAATATTTCTGATATCCTGTGGATATATTGGATATCCACAAAATATATTCTGTGGATATCTCGGGGATTTGGTGTGTTGTCTGGGTAGTCAACGCTATTATAAAACTACAGTGGTATCCGGATGCATTTAAAGTTGCAAATGTAGTCCCGATACATAAACAGGGTAAGAACAGATTTGATATAGAAAGCTACCGCCCTATATCTCTCCTAAACGGCTTAGCCAAAATTACAGATCGTGTGCTGCTCACGAGGCTACACACATACGAACAAGACACCACAATTATACCGGCGGAACAGTACGGTTTCAAAGCCGGTCACAGCACGATTGCACAAATAATACGCATTGCACAACATGCAAAAGATGCATTTAATCAAAATAAACCCACAGTATTAGTTGCAATCGATGCTGCAAAGGCGTTTGACACCGTCTGGACTGACGGTTTAATCCACAAAATGTTTATGAATGATTACCCTGTTTTCATTGTAAAAACAATTCAAACATACCTACAGGACCGTAAATTCTACGTTAAAATCCACAATTCGCGTAGAGGACCATACACAGCGCAAGCGGGAGTACCCCAAGGTTCGGTACTTGCGCCGCACCTGTATACCATCATGACTCATGATTTTCCCATGGGACAAAATGGTATACAGTCGGCCTTGTACGCCGACGACACTTGTGTTTACAAGTCATCAAACACAGCCGAGATCGCGACCAGGAGACTGGACATTCATGTTAATAGAACGTTAGTCCCCTATTTCCAAGACAACAAAATTAAAATCAATGCTAATAAAACAGAAAGCTTGCTTCTATCGCACAGAACGCATGACAGAATTATCACGAAACTAAAAATACAAAATCAAATAATTGAAACGAATAGTAAGATGCGATACCTAGGATTCATCTTGGATAGGAGACTAACGTTCAAACAGCATATCGCCGATAGAATTGCTAAGTCCACCGGAGCCCTTAAGGCACTATATCCGATGTTACATCGCAGAAGCGGTGTAACTTCGGCAAACAAACTCCTAATATACAAGCAAGTTCTTCGGCCGATATTGTTGTATGGATGTCCAGTCTACTGTTCAATGGCAAAAACACATTTTAACAGATTACAAATATTTCAAAACAAGTGTCTTCGGCTGGCGTTGGGGTATGACCGCTACGCTAGAATACACGATATGCATGTGCAAGCATCCTTGGA